TTATAACACAGGTCTCTGGAGTTCTGGAGCAAGGCTGTGCCATCTGCAGCAGCAGAATATATGCCTCCTGAGAAACAACTCCTGCTGTGTTGCTGAACCATGACAGAGACACACTGTTGTCCATGGAGTAACAAGTGACCTTCCACTCAGTATTACTCATTATAAACTGGATTCTGTTGGAACTAGAAATCATAAAGTTGAATGGGTCCATTAGCATTTCATTCATTTTAAGATGGAAATAATACATCATGGATTGAGCTTGAGCAGAAACAGAGGGCAGGAGTAGGAAACATAAGGAGGTAACCCTTTTAGAGTTCATGTTACCCACCACAATTGCTTCAGTGCCTGTGTTCCAACTTGCACATATGGCCTGATAGAGGTTGTCCCCTATGACCAGCTGAAGAAGGGAAAATAGCCTGTCTAGCTTATGAATAGGTCAGTTTGATATATGGGGTGAACTGAAAATTGGTGTGTTGAGACTCTGAGACATTTGAGATGGACTATGGTGGCCATGGAAGTGTACCAAGCAGATATCCCCTTTAAAAGAATCTACTGCAAGAATAGTTGGCAAACAGCCTCTGTCTGCTACATTTGTGGATATATCGCAGTGTTCATGTGAAATTCATGCTCTTCCTGGGCTGCCCCTAGCCCAGGAACAGCCTGAGGACAGTCGAGTGACTAGGGCCAGGCAATTCCTGCCTGACACAGCCCTTATCTGATGGCCCATCTTTGCCTTGGGATTGTACTGTTTACCCTACCCAAGCTCTCTTCTCTCCTTTCACAGATGTCAGGCTTGCATCAGAAACTGGAGGCTTCTCTTGCTCTTGCTCCTGTTTTTTATTCTCTGCAGGTATTTCTCCCAGTGAATCACTTAAACATCTAGTTCTGTCTTGAAGTCTGCTTCTCACAGGATTCAAATTGACACACCAGATAATGCCTATGAAAGTTCTCACTGTGATTAAAACTAAGCACTCTAATATATTACAGAAATGGTTGATTTCTTAAGCAACTTTCTCATAACTCCTAACCATGGAACTGTGAATAATTTGCATGCATATAAATTTTGATTATGTGAACAAATGGATATAATATTGCATTTATTAATTTGAAATAACAAATGTTCATCTATATTTGTCATATGTCCATAATCTATTACAGAAGTAGAGAGAAGCAAAATTTCAATGTAGTGTATTCTAATTTGTCAAACAACATATTCCTTTTCTACTTATAGATATACTTTAAAGGAAGTCATATTTCTTCTGGAATCCACCCCAATCATTCAAAGATTGAATGATAAATAGCCTAAATAGAAATATATTTTTATATAGTTTTTAATTGTGCCACTGTTGCAGAATTAAAGAAAAAGTAGTAGTTTTAATTTGGTTAAAATCCTCTTCAGCGGTAGACACATGTGGGTATTGTTGCAGGTACAGAGGATAGGCTGGTTGCTATTCCACTGTTTCTTAGCTATAAACTGCAGTATTCTGTGACTGTTAATTAAAATGAAGACATGCCAAGTAAGGTAATTACAGCTAAGTTTCCCCTGGTATGCTGTGCAGAAAATACAGGGAGCATTAATAATCTTGACCTCATTACTTTTGTATTTGTCTAACAAGAATGAAGTATTTAAGTCACTGCTGTGTTAACTTTGGATTTGCATATTTTTAAAAATCATACTTTTTTTTAGAGATTGTTTTATCTGCTCATAAGAGATATATATTCCGGACATTTGGTTAAAAAAGGAGACGCAAGAACAGTTATTTCTGTTCAAGATGAAGTCTGTATCAGGTTAAGAGTTGATTTCTTTAGAAAAACATGCTATGTTTGGGTGGCTTTTCCTATGCATAATGTCTTGTCAAGGATTCTGCCCTCAGCTGCAACCCTTGCCGAGTAGCTATGAACAATGAATTACATACCATGTGGCCTTGCACTCTGTGGCTGAAGCCACATCTTTAGTCTTCATTTTTCTCTTATTTCAGTTTGTTTTTGGAGTTTCATCTGCCTGCTGGAGTTTCCACCTGGAAGAGCCAATAGTTACCTCAAATTCATTCTGTTATGTGATGAAGAATTTGGCTTGTTTTTGTCTCTGGTCCTTGGGAGGAAGCCTTCAAACCCTTAGATTTCCCAAGTGATAGGAGCATTCATTATTTATGGTTTATTAGCATAAACACCTAAGTTTATGCTAATGAGATGACTAATGGAGAGCCTCTAGATAGTTTATGCTGATTAGATGAGTAAAGATTGGGGCTGGCCATGCCAGAAAGACCTATCATGTGATTATAGGTTTGGGGCTTTGAGCCATGTGATCTTGGCCTGATTTCTGGCTTGGGAGAAGGAGGAGGCTGAATTTTGAGTTCAACTTTATGGCCAGTGAATCTATCAATCATGCCTATATAATGAAGCCCCAATAAAAACTCGATACAATGAAGCTCAGTTCAGTTTTCTGGTTGGTGGTACACACTGAGGTGCCAAGTGGGTGATACATTCTGGGGACATGGGTGATTCACATTTGGGAGCCTCTCAGATTTTCCCATATGCATTTCTTGATTTGGCTGGTCCTGATTTTCATCTCTTCTAACAAAACTGTAATTCTGAATTTTTAGAAGTATTAATAAAATTTATTGAACACTGTAAGTTTTTCTAGTGAATTTTCAAACCTGAGAGGTTAGTGAGAACTTCAAAAATTATAACCAGTTGGTCCCCAGTGTGGGTGGCCTGGGAACTCCAGATCCTGTGACTAGAATCTCAAGTGAGGGCAGTCTTGTGGGCTCTGTACCCTTAACCTTTGTAGTTTGACCTAGCTTGGTTTATTAGTATCAGAACTGCATTGCATATTCTTTAAATTCTGAAGCATAATCCTTTTCCAGAGCCAACAAGCTTACCTGGTGAACTTTGTTTCTCTTCCCACATTTATCAGGTCTAATTTCTTCTCCATAAACCTTGCCTTCAGTTCATGTCCACTGTCACATATATAACGTTGTTTTTTTTTTTTTTTTGGCCTGGCCTGTTTCAATACTAATTAAACTGGCCTATCTTCATTGTAACCTATCTTGTATTTCCCAGTGAAGTTCATCTTCCTTACCCTGTCTTCAAACTCAAGTATCTTTTTCAGAGGTGTCTAACTAGAACCCATTGCAGCATCTCTCAAGTAACAGGCACACCTGTAGATGCTGAATAAATGTCTTTCTGCTGTCCAAACTTCATGGCTATAGAGGACCCTGCAGTTGTCTCCTACGTACCTCTTCAACCTTGTCCTCTCTCGCGTCTATAAATGAATCCTGTGTTTCAAACCAATTACTTTACTCATGGCTTTGCTTACTCTTAACACCTGGATTCATTCCCATTCAGCTGACCAAACTGCCTGTCTAAAAGGCTCTGTCTCCCTTTGTACTAAGTTCCATCTATGCTGTGAGTCTTTTTAGATGTCTCTACTCCTTAGGGAAAGCTCTCACTTCTGAATTTTTTAGCACTTATGGTAGCATACTTCCATACTGTGTGTGTTGTATGTGGTTATCAATTGGCTACTAGTCTATACTACATGGGATTTGGGTTATTATCTATTATTGCAGGCTCTTTTGTAAAACTATACCATGGACTTAGGAAAACAGGCAAATAGAAGTTTTTTGTGATCTCAAGGCATATGTAATAGGTGTATGAGTTTTTTAGTTTTGCTACAGAGTTTCTCTTATTTTGTCTAATTAGTAAAATCAGTCAAGTCTGATCTGCAAAAACAATGAAGGTAAGAAAAATATTTTACCTACTAATTCTTACTGTATTCTAACCCAGTAATTTAAATGCCCTTGAAATGGTAGAGATGGCATTGTCCATATTGTCCAGTTGATAGACACAGTTATAGAGAAATTCATTTGCTGATATTTATTTGCTGTTCATCAATAGGGCATGTGTGGTTTTTTCATTTACTTGACAGTAAATAAAACTGACAGTAAGTAAAAATCCAAACTTTTCTCACTTGAATGTCCAGATAACAAAGGCTTATTTCTTTGACCATAGAACCAGGCGAAGCTGAACTTTAAAGTATAATAAGGCGGCCTGTTCTCTTTCTCAACAGACAAGGAATACTGTCCCAAATATCATTTAAGGAATATAACATTTTCAGGCAGCTTTGCATCCATAATTTCGCATATCTTGTTACACTACCATATGCCCATATGTATTTGAAGACGAAGTATTAGCATTCTATAACTTTCTCATTTTGTGGTAAAGAGAAGAAAAATAAGACTTCAGTCTCACTAATCAAAAAAGATACACAATTCAGCATTCATTTAATAGAGACGTACCTCGTGCAGAAATAGCCCTAGTTTGAGAAAACGCAACTTTTTAAAGAAAGATAAAATCTTAGAAGGGACTGCAGGGAATTTACTAAGCTTTTTGGACAAATGGGTTCTGCAGCATTAGGTCTACATTTGTTTTAAAGAGGGTTATATGTTCTGAAGCGGACCGAACAATAATAATACTGGAAAACTATAATGTTATAAAGTCGAATTTTAAAGTGTAGAACATCTAACCTGTGAACAGAGATAAATGTGTTTGAAAATATAGATGAAGTGAATAGTGAAAATTTACTTCTCTGCAAAGCTTTCTCTGATAAATTTCAAATTGCTTTATAAGAGTCCACATGATTTTTACTTACTGTCAGTGTAAATACATTTTTACAGATCCTGCTTTGTGAAATATAATCTTGTAGTTCTATGTTCCTACACCTGAGTTAATGGTTTCTCTCAAATAATAATGATTTCTTTCAACCATTTACAGGTTTGTGGGTCAATACACATTTCAAAGTGCCCAGAAGGAAAATTTTAAATTAATTTCTATCAACTCAAAGGGATAGCAAAACTATGTGCTGATATAATACTCTATGAAATGACATGGTGACTGAAAAGTTCAATTATTTTTACTTTCTTATTCTTGCCTCTTTAGTTAAGCTTTACATCAAGCTAATAAGAAACGACACTAGTAGAAAGAAATACAAAAAAAGGACATATTTTAAACACTTGTTTATTTCTCAATTTTACAGATGTGTGTTAAGGTCTGGTAACTGAAGACTATAGTTGAATCGAAGTTGAGGTCTGGAGTGTGCCAGTGAATATTTTTTGTAGGTAGAGCAAAAGCAAAGGTGAATGGCTGTTTTATGGTGAAGGCCCCAGCAGCAACCATTGAAGCTTTTCATGTCTTCCATGGTGAACAGGATTGTATTTGGAGGAAAGTATCTGTAACCAAACCAGACATACATGGATTGAGAATGGCTTCCTGGGAAATTTCTCAAATGCAATCAAGCATTGTGTTATGGCAGCAGTGAGTTATATGGTTATGGAACAGAAATTCCCAAATGACGCCTGAAACAAGGAGTTACGGAATAGCTACCAATAAAGTGAGGTTTCTCAGGTGTCCTCAGACATTGAGCTACAGAAGAGTGGAGTCCTGGAAAAAGTGGCAAGAGTATTGAGTAGGGGACAGATTTCATCACATTGCCAATTGAGGGGAGCCTAGACCCCAAACACAGGGGATATAAACTGTCCTAGAGATGACATTTTGGAGTTGGGTGCATATTTTTAGCGCTGAGTTGAATAGTGAACTCTCCTATCAGGATTCTGCATACACTGTCTGTCTTGTATTCTGTGGTTTTTTAGACTCTTTAGTAAGAGGCAGGATTGATTTGGAAACAATTGCTTTGTCTCAGCTTAGGATTCTCAAGTAGCACCTCTGCCTTTCTTTGAAGAACATCTGACCAATTCCAAGGAAGTTAAATTTGATCCAAATTTTGGAAGTGGCAAGAAACATACAGAAAGATAAAAGGGAAAGGCAGCTGTTTACCTAGAAGACACACATCACTCCGTTTTTGCCATCAGCATCAGAAACACAATACTTATTCAGGACATGCCATTTTAAACAATAATTTATGAGCATCCCTTACATGCTAATATAATGTTGGATACTGGAGCTATGATAAGGAAACTTATATCTTTATAGAGGACACAGATGAATAAGCAAAAAAAAAAAAAAAAAAAAAAAAAGACAATACATTGTGTTACATTTTCTGATAAGTTTGCCAAAGTTACTCTGCAAGGGGAATACCTAATCCACTTCAGGAGAAAGGGGGAAGGGTTAGAAAATATTTTCAAAGAAGCAGTGGCTGAAGTAAGTCTAAATATCAAATATGTCTTTGTGTTTGTATAAAGGCTATCTGTTGAATTGTGACAAATAATTATAGCAGTGGTATTCAGAGATGAGTTAGTGTTGGGTCTTGAATGTCAATCAGAGAATTGTAACTTGGTAGAAATAAGAGGTCATTTAAATTTTTAAGCTGGGAGTAATAATAAGGCAGAAATTCTTCTAAAGCTTTCTGTTCGTGGATCAATCAGATGGAAAGGGGATTGGAGGTGGAGAGATAAGTTATTTTGTTCAACAACTTGAGTGTAGGGCAGTGGAAACCTGAATCTAGGACAGTGGTTACGGGGAAAGCACAAATCATCTGAATGTGAGTCTGGATTCTGAGTTTGTCTCCAGTGGTTTGTCCATGGGAATGGTCATTTGATCCAAACTACAGGAGAGAAGAAAACTATAAACCAATCAGCAAGAGCATCCAACTGATCATTGATAATTGGTTCAAAGACTGCGAAACTCTTTTGAGATGTAAATACAGATTTTAAAGGAGACATGGGAATAAACATAACAGAGAAGAAGGTAAAAGTTGGTTCCTAGATGAAGGTACTAGTGTCCACTTACATGCTCTTTATCCTTTTGTTTAACATTGCTTCTGCTACTGTTTCTTCATCATTATGATAATTTCTTAAAAGCAGATAGGAATGACTGTGAAAGGATTGGCACCAAATATTATGAATATGGCCAATAGAAATGTGTTGAGTCAAAATAAATTTTGATATATCCAAATGTTATTTTGATACCAAATGATCTTTAGAAGAATGCGATATGTGACACTTTAGAAGAAAATCCTAGTATGAGAATCTAGCAAACTCAAAATAAGTTATCATGATAAATACCAGTACAGTAATGAAGGAAGAAAACACTTATGGAGCCTTTATATTTCATGCATTATGCTAGGTGTTTTACTAGAATAAAAATACTTCATGAATTAGAATGTGCACAGATCATATTTTACCATCTTGGTTGAGAAGTTTAGCAGAATACATTAGTTCATCCTAGCAAATAAGATTATAGCATAAACAATTTTGAAAAATAATTTAGAAATCAAAAACTAAAAGTTCAGATAAAATTTAAAACTTTTAGGCAATTGATTGTGAATGGCATAGTCTTGATTATATATATTTTCTACCATTGTTTCTATGTAATTCTGTGGTTGCCTATGCTTTCGTTCAGTCCCTACGAAGATGGTTAATTTTCATCTCCCTGTTGGTTGAAGCGACTTTTTCTGGCAGGGCCACTGTATATTTTCTCAGGGATGGTTCACCTCAAATTCATCGCCGCCACAGGAAAATTAACAAAGATCTCCTACAGATTACAGGTCACAATAATAGTTTTCCCATACATGAAGGGCAGTGTACAGTTATACAAATGTAAATGAAAATTGATGTTCTTTTTAATTTATCTCTCAGTTATATTTTTTGAAGTACTTCTGTTTTGAGGTTAAAAAAAGTAACTGAGTAAAAGTCTACTTATAACAAAGTAAATTACCCTTTGATATCCAGTGCAGCAACCCAGTATTTGAGAAAAACCGAACTCCACAAAGGCTTAATATATTCAGAATCTGACAAAGTGTGACCCATTTATGGAAGCAGAAAATGCACCACAGTTTCTTTACTGTTTCTTATTTTCCTTCCAAAAGCAGATAAATCATATTTACCAGCCAAAGAAAAGAACTGTTTCCAAACTTACTTGTTTAGAGAAAAATGGAGAAACACGGGGGGGAAAATACAAGAATTTTGACTCAGAAAGATACTCTTGAAATATGATGTGGAGGGCTTTCAAAGATTTCATAAGAATGTCAAAATATGGAAAGTATTTGATGAACTTATTTAACAAATACTCATTTAGTCATTGCTATAGATGCCTATAGACCCTTTTCACACACTGAGGATATTGAGCAGTTTACAGATGCCACATGGTCACACTGCCATTTTTTCATGATTAATTTCTAAGATTTTTGTCAGAATTTTAAATATATGGAAAAAGAATAAACAATATTAAAATACAAAATCTTCACTCTGTCTTAGGTATTCTCCTAAGTGCTCATGTCTATAGTAGCACTTTTTCTATTTTTCTCCATGTGCCATTTTAATTTTTTCTCCTTTATGAGACTGTCAACTCCTTAAAAATGGGGAACTCTGTCTTGCACATCCTCATGTGGCCAGTCCTTTGTATTGCACATAGCACCTAATAGATGTATCCATAAATGTTTGCCACATACAACAATGAGTAAACAAACACTGGAGCCCAAGGGCAATTTTTTTATTAAAAAGAGTATATATTAATATACAGATTGAGCTACCTTTACATTACTTAAGTGTTGAAAATAGACCCATATGTTTACTGATTATGTTTAAATCTTCCAGAATTCCTTTCAAAAAGGACTTACATAAAACTCATATCATTTAAGTTTTATAAAGTACTAAAATAGCATGTCATTGTAATTAATACTGTAATTAATATTACTTTAAAAATTCTAAGTGGTGAACATTATGTTGATAAACTAGGACAATGACAGAGATGTCATTTCTTAGCCACATTTTTAGATTTTACACTGAGCTATGCTTTAAGTCATAGTTGGGACTGAAGTTGTTCTGTTTTTTTATTTAGTTCAGTATAAACTTAATATATTGAAGGATTTAAAAGGCTCTCAAATGCAGTTCCTTTATTCATTGACATTATGGCCTGGTCAGACAGACTATATGTGGCTAGAATGACTTGTGTCCACAACGATGTAGATCAAATTAAAAAAAAAATTGGGAATGGCTTTTGGGACCCTTGGAAACCACTTCCAGTCTAAAGCCACAAGGGCAGAACTAATCAATAATGGTGACCATTTGGTTCCACTCATTTCTTTTAATGAACATGCTCACAACTCACTAAAAGCATTCTTACTAGACTGGGATGGATTTCAATTCTCTGGTGAGAATAAAAATAAGAGACAAAAATAAGAGCCTTTGACAAAACCTGTGGGGTTGCATTACACTTATTCTCTTCCCCTGTCCTAATAGACACTTGTGTTGTTTAACTCCGAAAATTGCCATCTTGGTACAGACTGACAAGAAGTTGATCTGTGACTGTTAGCTAAATTCTCCCCATGATTCTTGATTCAGGTTATTTTTGGAAAGCATCTATAAACTGTAGATCAGTTTCAAATATGTAAAATCTATAAATGTAGGCATAAAGGTCTCAAGAAAAAAATGGGCTCAGAACTGATTTAATCAGTGTATTAATATTCAATAGGATAATTTCCATTTTTATAGTCACTGCCCCAGTTCAAGTAAGCATTAATTTGTATCTAATAAAGTATCATTAATACTGTGGATACTTAAAAATTGCTTTTGATAAATGAACAACATCTAGATTATTGCAGCAGCCTCTTAACTTGTCTCACTTTAAGTTCCTTCCAATTATTATCTATTTTATAGCTAACTGCCAAAAAAAAACCTTCCCATAATTTTCCACCATAGATAATTTCTTGTTTATGAAACTAGTTTTCTTTTTTAACAAAATCAACATTCCTGTGCTTGAGATGAAATTTTCTCTGTTAATTTTCCTAGGTTTTCATTTCTTACTATCCAATTAATCTCATTACTTCATTGCATCAGCATTTTTCAAATAGCACATTGAAATTTTTTGGTGACTACCAGATATAGTCATCATCTTAAAAATGCACCTGAGTTCATCTGTCAAAATAAGTATACCAGCCCATTGGTAAACAAAGACTAGAAAGTCTCTATGATTTCAGAAAATACCCCTTTCTCATATCCAAGTCAGAATGTCTTGGACAAGAAGGGGAGAAGATGTGAGGGTAAAAGGGAAGTGATGACTGGTCTGTCTCTTTGTCAGTTGCGTCTTTTCTCACTAATTTTAAAACCACAGTGTCAGTACGTAAGAGAATTTAGTGTTCAAAGGGATAATAAATCTTTTCAGAGGAATGAACAGTATAGTTACTGACCAAGTGTAAATTGACATAAGTGTACATTTAGGGAGGCTGGGCATGGTGGCGTTTGCCTGTAATCCCAGCTACTCAGGAGGCTGAGGC